AGGCAATACCAAAAATAAGGTAATTATTTAATTATCTATAGCCTAAAGCCTAGTTGTCTGTCTGTAATTGGTTATCCTTAGCATTTGATTTTGTAACTTTGAGGTGTTCACAGGCTTAGATTTTGGTTTGCTTACATAGGCCTCTCAGCATTAAAGCCACCTTGGTCTAATGACCTCCTTGTTTAATTAATTTAACAAACTTGATTTTTTTCCCCATGTTCTTCCTTAGTGAAAAATTTAACCTAACTTTATGTATATCAATGTAATCCAAAAATCTATTATCTCAGCATTTGACAAAATTTGTCAAATAAAACACACAAAACAGATTTAGTACACAGAGACTTAATTCAAAATGATTATTGCAAAGGAGAGAAAGGGACTATTGTGATAATGCGAAGGTTGTGATCATAATAAAGTCTGCAAGTATCCTAAGAGTATGGAGCTCAGCTGGCGTAGCTAAGTGGTTGAGCATCAACCTATGAACCAGGAGGTCATTGTTCGATTCTTATGCCATGACTGGCCTGGGTTGTAGGCTCGATCCCCAGTAGGGCATACAGGAGGCAGCCAATCAATAATTCTCTCTCATCATTGATGTTTCCATCTCTCTCTCTCCATCTCCCTTCCTCTCTGAAATTAATATAAAAATATATTGAAAGGAGTGAGCAAGACCAGAAAGATTAGGGTGTATGCAAGTGGGATGAAAGGGCAACTTGATGAGGTAGTAGTAGTAGCTCAGAGAATATTTTACCCCGAAGCCAGCATCATCTTGTGTTTTCTCTCTTAGTTCTTCTGGCTGATTAATAAACAAATTGACAAGAGCCAGACAAACAAGACAGAAAACCAAATTTATTACATATTTACATGCAAGTGTTCCATAAGAATTGATTCAAATCAGGTAATGAGTTGACTTAAATGTAACCTGAGGACATATCGGACAGTTGAGGCTTAAGTGCCACCTTGAGCTAAGGAATAGGGGGTAATGGTCTAGAACTTCAAAGAGAAGATAGGTAATTCACAGGTAGACAAGAAGGAGTGAACATTTGGTAAACAAATTATTTCTGGGTCCCACAGAAACAATGGGATGCAGAAGGGAGTCTAACAGACTTGGCCAGGTTCCTCCCTGTCTGCTACACTTATGCTAAGGTGATCTCTCTTCCCGGAGCAGATTTTTCCATCTGAATTCACAAGTGAGGAGGTAAAAGGCTCTTTTTTGTGTCTTTTGTTCTTAAAAATCACCAGCTTAATCAATATCCTCAAAAGGCATATTTTGGGACGACAGACTTTGCTCCTCCTCAGTGGGAATTTGGAGGGTTTGTGCCTGACATCATCATAGAGCTTGTGTGAGTTTTATCTAAATTATGTGGGGAAGGGTTTTGTTTTTTTTCCAATAAGCTGTTTTGTGAAACATAAAAGAGTGGGTTCTGTTAACTTTTGCTCTTTCCTGAAGCACAGAGTTGAGGTAAAAGTCATCATTGTCAAACCCCTGTTATCTAATGATTGGCATGTTATTTAAAAATGTGTTTCAAACTAAAAAAGGCACTAGAGAATAAAAATCCATACGTATGTATTTATTCACAAGTTTTTATTATAAGGCCAAGGGCTCTCCTTTGAGTTTGCTGATAAAAATTTCCCATTTTCTTCCTGGCATACATTACACAAAAAGTAGTTCAGCTAAAATGTTCAGGTATCTAAGATGTTCAGCTTCAGGTTCTTTAAATAGCATGAAGAAACTTGACAAGCAATCTGAATGAAGAGTCATTCTAGATCATGTTGTATACTTTCCAATCTTTATTATTGTCTGGTTCGTACCTAATGCAAAGGCAATTTCTCTTTTCCTTTTTGTTGTAGTTTTAGCAAATTGTCTTTATAGTCTTTCTAATATATCCAATATAGAAATTACCATGTTTGTTAATTGCACTTTCAATATAAGAAATGTCCAAACCTGTAGAGAATTTTTGTGAGTTTATTTGAGCCAAACTGATGTCAATTGCTGGGAAGCCAAAATCTCAATGGATTGAGAAAATGCTCCAGAGAATGGCAGTTTTGCACCTTACTGGACATCTTAAATGCTTATTGTTGCTTTTTTTTAACAGATAGCATATAGATGTTATTTAAATGTTGACAGAGCTGGGTTAGATTTTGATTTTGAACTTGAACAAAAAGAAGTTCCTGCTCCTCAATATGCAAAATCATAAAAACAAGGAGATTCAAGCATAGCACACACAGGCATGCATGCCCACACACACAGACAAAAAAAGAAAACTTTGCTGGACCTCTACAAAAGAACCATAACTTGTGTGTGTGCACACTCATGCACACACACACACACACAATAGATGAATAAAAGGAACAGAGATTCTCTGTTAAAACCAATGAAATAGGTAAGAAAATAATAGATTTGGATAACAAATGCAGTTGACTTTCTGATGAATAAAAAAAGGTGCTAAAAGAAGAAAAATGAAGAGATGAAGCAGAGGAAGTTATTAAATAGTATGAGAGCTTATCTGAGCAGAAGCAGACTTAAATCTTCAGATTAAAATGCATCATTGAATTCCAGGCGACACAGATAAAAAGAGGATATGCACTATTTGAAAATAAAGACCACTAATTTATAAAAAATAAAATGTTACAGTTTATCAGAACTGCATTGCAGGAAGTTAGGAGGGAGTGTTCACAAGTCAGAGGTGATGCCCATCACCTCCCACTTCCTTAGCACATCAAACTTACAGAGTACCTGAGTAAACACAAGTTTTGCATTATGACCAGCACAGAAGGAAAGGCGTTGGGACATCCTGGTAGCAAAAATAATTCTTTGTGATGCTCAGCAAGGAGGGGACAGTGGGCTTCATATTTATAAATGAGCACACTTCCAAAAGCTCATAGGAAAGAGAAACTGATGTACATGTAAAAGAAGTCATCTATGTGTCTAGGAAAATACTATAAATAAACTATTTGTCCAGAGGAATAAAATCCTATATAATAAAAGGCTAATATGCAAATCGACCGAATGGCAGAACGACCGGTCGCTATGATGCGAGCTGCCCCCTGGTGGTCAGTGTGCTCCCACAAAGGGAGCGCCACTCAGCCAGAAGCCCTGAGCCGGGCTCACAGCTGGCGAGAGCAGTGGTGGTGGCGGGAGCCTCTCCCGCCTCTGCAGCAGCACTAAGGATGTCCCACTGCTGGCTTAGACCTGCTCTCCATAGGGCAGGCAGTCAGACATGCCCCGAGGGCTCCCAGACTGAGAGAGGACACAGGCCAGGCTGAGGGACGCCCCTACCCCCAAGTGTGTGACTTTCGTGCACCGGACCTCTAGTGTTTAATAATTTGCTATTGTTATTTTTAATTTCTAGCATTCAGAAATTGAAGTTCTATTAATTACAACAAGGCTGTTTTCCTTAGTGATGCTTAGGTACATCCTGGAAAGATGCCAGGATACCAGAAATAGAAAAAAAAATATTAAAAACTTTCAGAAAGAAGAAAAATTTATTTTATTTTTCTAGAAATGATTTTATATGACTAAATATAATGATGTGTTACCTTTCCTAAAAATCAGTTCTTTAAAACTTATCCTATAAGACATTAATTTAATTTTTATAGTGAATACATAATAATGTAACAATTTATTTGGATTTATTATGGATTAAATATGATGAGTATGTGTGTGTGTGCATGTGTGTGTATGTGGTTGTTATTAAAATGAATTCCTATAACAAAAGAAAGAAAGAAAGAAAGAAAGAAAGAAAGAAAGAAAGAGAAAGAAAGAAAGAAAGAAAGAAAGAAAGAACCAAAGACTAATGCTATATTTTATAATAATATTTAATTCATTGAAATTTTATACAAAATAGACTTTGGTCAGACAGCATGTGAGTTCTTTTGGCAAATAGTAAACATACAAAAGTAAACATACAAAAGAAATTAAGCATAAGAATATTCAAGCAAAGACATAACATTACTAACTTTACCATTTTTTAAATCAAGAAAGCACTACCAAATAAATCATATTACTGCTCTTTGTATTTCTAGTTTTTGAATCTGTACAGCGATCAATATATCATGTGTGTTTGCATGTATGTACATGTTTCTCCGGAGATTTGAGGGAGAAAGAGAGCAAGAGAGAACCAATTAGCTAAGTATGTAAATACCAAATCAAAGAGTAAAATAGATGGAGCTTCCTTACAGTCTTTTTTTTTAAAGTACGTTTGAGAATTTATTAGTTTTTAATGAAGGCTAAATTTTATTTTATTTAAATACTTGTCTTTTATTCTGAATATGTCTACACCATTTTTGTGATGTCAGGCTTATCTTTTTACCTTAAGATGAAATAATGATAGTAGGTAGTTCTTTTTTGGTATCCTTTTTCATTAGATAAAAGCACTTGCAATTAAAACTAGTCTCTAAATACATATTTCTTAAATAGATTCATGCATACATTATTGTTTCATTGGCTTTAGTTGTATAATCTTTGGGACTGAAGATATAGTAACTACATTTAAGAATATTATTAGAAAGTGTTGATTCTATGTAAACCTACTTCCATTGGGAATATATATGAATATGCATCAAATGTTCATCTTGTATCTACCCACTGGTCAAGAGTAGTCTTGACTATATATATATTATATATATATATATATATATATATATATATATATAGAGAGAGAGAGAGAGAGAGAGAGAGAGAATTGATTTCAGAGAGGAAGGGAGAGGGAAAGAGAGATAGAAACATCAATGATGAGAGAGAATCATTGACTGGCTGTCCCCTACTGGGGATTGAACCAGCAATTTGGGCATGTGCCCTGACCGGGAATCGATCCAGTGACCTCTTGGTTCCTGGGTTGATGCTCAACCACTGACCCACACTGGCCAGGCTTGACCATCTGCTTTATGAGTCATATGCCCTCAACTAAACAATCAGTGAATATCAAGAGAAAACACAACATTATGCTAAGACATTTTTACAATGAACATTTGAAGGTCAGGATCTTCCATTCTGGTCCATATTTTCGTTGGATGCTTTTTGTCTATTTAAACTTGATTCTAGATGAAGGGAAAGGAAGCTGAGGCAGAGGAATGAAACTTAGAGTTCAGGTTCCAAATGGTTGTGGCCATGATGTTCATGGAAATGATGGTCATGTTCTCTCCACCTAGGGACCTTGAAAGAAAACAAGGTTAGGACATTTTATAAGCTTCTTTCACTGGGCTTGTCAGAGATTACTACTGAAACAAGGTATTTTCTATAATTATTTTCCATGCTTAGAAAGAATAGATTATAAAAATTGTTGGGGAAAAAAGAAAAGAACAAAAATATTTACCACACCCACCCTGACTGCATTCCCTTTTCCCAAGTCTGTTCTCCCCAGAAATCTTGCTGAACACACCCAAACATCTCTCACTCTTAAGCTTTGCAGAAATAATTTGGGAGAAAATTATTTACAGTGGAATAAAGAGGTAGAAATCAGAGGATAGAAAGAGGCTGATGTTTTGTTATTCACAGAACCGCTTATTGTGAACTCACTGAGATTCTCCAACCTTTTATGTTCCACCAGCTTTTGCCTATGTTTCTGTATGTTATAGAATTTCATGCCCAGGGTCCCTATTATTTTAATGAGTAGGTTTTTAAATAACTCTCAGAGGAATGAAAGGACACTTGCTTCAGTCTTTTCTTCATCTAATATCTGCTTTAGAAAATGCCATAACTTCTGATTCTATCTGTCTGCACACATTGCCTTAATTTCTCTCTATACAATGGGATTTCATTTAATTTCATCACACAAATGCACGCACACATCTAGGCTTGAGGTGAAAAAAACTCACTAGTGGAGTCATCATTTACATCCTTATTTAGAACAGTGCACAGTACCTCCCAAAAGACAGAATCATCATAGCAGTTCTGGTCAGATGGCTGTCCCCAGATAGGTAACTTTAAAATTAAACCTGTGAAGGTGGGGAGAAAATAAGTCATGTTATGACACTGACGCTGATGAGGAAAACTCACCTGCATAGTAATTAAGTAAATATTTAAATTAAAGTAATTACTGTTATAAAAGCATCCCCTTGCACTTACATGACTGTTGTCAGAAGTTTAGTACATTTTCAAATTTACCAATCGATATGTTTATGAATAATCTATCATGCTGAGAGCATGAGCTACGGGGAAGTGTTTATTTTTATGCTGACCTGTGATCAGCCCTCCAACAAGGGCTGTTCCAATGGAAGAACCCAGAGCAGCTGCTTGCATGGCTGGTGTAGACCTAGGAAGCAAAAAATAACATAAAATAAAAATAAATTTAAAAATCTTGCTTTCTGTTATTATGATTATTGATTTTATTTTAGTTTTTCCATCACCATTTATCCCCTCTACGACTTCTTCCACCTATACTACTACCTCTCCACCCTGCAGTCACCACACTGTTTTCCATGTCCATGAGTTCTTTCTTTCTCTCTCTCCCTCTCTCCCTCTCTGAAATACTTGGTATCGGGTTTTGATACGTGATCTGATTCATTCAACAAGTATTCATTGAGCTTCTCATGCCAGTTTCTCTTCTAGGCACTGAGGATAGAGTATACAACAAATATGAACTTCAATCTCTCCTCACCCCATCCCAATAGCAACAATTACAATGAAATTAAAAAGTCAGTGAGGTCAAAAAAGCTCATTTTAGCAAATATTGTAGAGACAACTCATTAAAGACACTAACATATATCTTTATATGTCATCTTAGAAGTAGTTACCTTAAAATGAAATGTGTAAAAAAAATACTTCAACTTTGGAAATTAAAGACTGTAATAGTAAGCTATTGGAATGCATAAGGTATTGTTACATGAATGACAAATGTACTAGGAATGTAGGAATCTCCTTAGCACATGCCTCTCTTAGCAGGCAATCACTAAACACTTTTTGAAAGATTGAAGAAGTGATTGTATGAAAGCAAACAACTGGAAAATGAGAGAGTGTTGGTGTTCCATCTTCATCATTCAAGGGAAAGATACACTAAATTCAGATATTTATTTATTTATTTATTTATTTATTTATTTATTTATTTAAAGGGTTTAAATATTTCTACTATATAAAAAATTATAGAAATAATACATAGTCATTGTAAAAATACTTTTAAAAACATTAATTAAAAAATAAGGAAAACTAATTTCCCTCAAATTTTACCAGTATAATTTATAAAATGCAATCTTATTATTATAATACTATATTATAATACTAATGTTCCCACTTCATATTATAATACTAATGTTCCCATTAGATCTCAATGTCTTTTTATGTCAGTAAATGTCATCTGGATCATAATTTTAGTTGCTACAGAGTATTACACGGTACAAATGTACTATAATTATTCAACAATAGGTAGGATATTTGGATTGCTTTCAGTGTTTCATATATTTTTTAAATGCTGTGAGAATATATCCTCTTATGAACATTGTGAACTTGCCCAATAATTTCTCTAAAATGGAACTTATCTAGAAATGAGATTATTGGTAAAAGGTAATAAACTACACATGGGCTAATTCAAAATTGTACAATTTATGTCCCCATTTCTCTACTTTAACTACCATTCTGTATTGTCATTTGTTTAATCTTGTCAAATTAATAACTGAAGAATTGGTAACGTTTCCATCTGAATTTCTTTGATTACTAATGAGATTTAACATTTAATATATACTTATTTGTTTGACTTTCTTTTATTGTAAGTTTACTGTTAATTTTACCAGAATTTGCCAAGATCTTTTACAAGGTATTAAAAGATATATTTGATGAAAAGTGTCCCATGATAAAAATAAGCTTGAAAAACACTTGTTTAAAAAGAAGTTAACAGTATTATTAACTTCTCATTGTCCTATGCTTACCAAGAAACCTGATTTGCACTTTAGTATTCTGAAGAGACACAATGTGGGTTAATAGTCTTGGCTCTTGGACTAAATATTTGAACTGGTGCACGGGGCGTGTGAGTTTTACCTACCTGAATGGGTCTTCCATAATTTCCCTCCCTACCACAACTCCTCCTGAGTAAATTGAGAAGTTGTTGCAAAACCTAGACCCAAGGACTAGACTCTCAACCTTGAAACCTACCCCAAATCTGGCCACCCGGTCAGACCCAGCTCACGAGCCAGATAGACTGTTTTACTGCATCTGTGGGACTGGTCTAGGAATGATACTCAATAATTCCTCTGTTCTTAATCATGAGGCACCTCTTTAGAGTGTTTGCAGTGTTTATACACTATAACCCTAGGAGTTGGACTCATTGATACATGCTTTTATCATGCTTGATTTAAAGCATTGAAACACTTTAGTTTTGGTCTTATCAGCCTGTTAGGTGCTGGAGAGAACTGAAATAATCTGTACATATTTTTGGAGATGTCTTCCAAATTTGTAAAAGGGGTAAAAAAATAAAACATACAGAAAACTCGGTCAAATATACAAATGGAAGAATGAAACATTTTGTCTGGTAGGAAATGTGAATAAGCAAGTTTTTAAAATATTTGTTATTATTGGTCTCAACAGGGTTAAATTTTAATCTGCTAAAATTGAAGAAGTTTTTCTTTTCAAATTATGCAACTCTAGCTAGTAGTAATGTTGAGGCATTTTCTTTATTTTTATTTTTTTAAATTTATCTTTATTGTTGGAAGTATTACAGATATCCCCCTTTTACTCCCCATTGACTCCCTCCATCCCACTCCCCCCTCAACCCCTCAAGCCTTGTCTTCACTATTGTCTGTCTTGAGACATTTTCAAACACACATTCGCCTTTTCTTCATGGTTTGAGTGGTCTTTAAAAATTGAGCATTTTGTTTTCTCCTTACTTGCTCTCTGAGTGATCTGCACTCTATGATCTTCCTGGCTGTTTGGCATGGATGATACTCATATTAAATTGCTTCAATACGGTTTCCTAAAAGTGACATCTGATGGCTTATGATATCATTTCCATGCTCCTGTATTTCATTGATAGCCATTCTTCTGCCCATTTAAATAAACACCTAGGCCCCCTTTGGGAAGAATCTATGTCTGCATGGGTTTTAGAGAACAAATGGTACAATTCTCTCATTTTACAGATGAGGATACAGAGCCAGAAGAGGATACAGGTTGGGTAACTTGTCAGAGGCCACATAACTAGTTAGTAGACAAGTTGGAGCCTCACTCCAGTGTTCCTGCTTCTCCAGATCCAACTGCTTTCCATGTTATGCTGACTCATTCTTATTTGTGTGAGTTGCATGGAAACAACTGCTGAGCTCATCACGTACGCTCTATATGCCCCATTTTGCTGGGATCAAGTAAAAGAGTAAGCCTATTGTAATCTGATGGTGATGATCAAATTGCCCTATCTACTAGAAGACAGTGTCTATGGTATATACATTTAAATTAGCACTGTTAATTTACACACAAAAATACACACCATAAAACAAAACATTAATAATATTAACACATCTTCCAATGAATTCTATTCTCTTCAGTAAGGACAATACTTATAGCTTTGGCCTGGACTGCTAAAGAACAGGCTCTCTCATCACAGGATTTTACAGAGTGAGAGGAAACATTATTGGGTGGTGGGAAGGGAGGCAGAAAAATCCATTGTTTCACTCACGTGTCAGATGCTCCCAAGACCACTGCCACAATGCCTGCGAGGCCTCCTACCACACCAGGTAAGCCATGCAGGTTATGGACCCCACATGTATCATGGATCCTCAGTTTAGTAGCAAAAACTGGCTGAAATGGTAAAAAAGAGTAAAGCTTATTTCATTAGATATATAGGACTCTATAATTGAAATAAAAGATCATGCAGGAAACATTTTATCTACAGTCCATTTCTCCATCCATATCTAAAACCCACTTACAGTCCACTTCTCCATCCATATCTAAAACCCACTTACAGTCCACTTCTCCATCCAGATCTAAAACCCACTTACATCCAGATCTAAAATCTACATAAGCCAAACAATCTGTAAACATTGGTGGCAAAACTGTTCCTTTTAGTGTTTGGTGGATGGATTTGAAGGCAAGTGATTTGAACTCCTACTCCTTCTTACTTACTGATCTTATCCTAAATCCCCTTTTAATAAGTACAGAGTTCTTAATTATATAAAACAAACATCATCAACCAAAATAAAACAAGGTCATAGAAGCATTGAACAGACTGTCCAGCCTATGAAGGAAGGCGGCGGGTGAGGGGGTTAGAGATCAACGAAAGGACTTGTATGCATGCATATGAGCATAACTAATGGATACAGATGGGGAGAGGGGGTGAGGGCACATGCTGGGGGGTGGGGGTGACTTATGTAATACTTTAAACAATAAAGAATTTAAATTAAAAAAAAACTTTAATGGTACGTTGGAAAGGAACACAGTACTTGACATTCAATCCTCCCAAGAGATAAATAACCAATATTGGATTCTTTCCAGCTACCCAAAAGAAGTCAGGACAGAGTGTAAACACTGGACACTAAGGTGTGAATGGGGCCTCTGACAGGAAGGCAAATGACTCGCAACAAGGAGAGGTGCTTATGAAAACAATTGTCATAGCTTTTCCCTGCTAGGGGAATGTGAGAAGATGATTGTGCAGAATCAATGTTTCACTCAGCATCTGTCATACTTACAGTCAGAAACTTAAATCCAAGTACGGAGACCATTCCTGCGATGCTCCCAATGATCATAGAAACGTATGGGTGGATTGCCATGTCCGCACAAGTGCCCACAGCAACGCCTCCAGCCAGGGTTGCATTCTGAATGTGTACCTGTAGGGAGCCCAGAAACATGGGTGGAGTGAGCTGAACAGGCAACGTTCAGGACTGAATGAATGGAGGACTCAGGGACCCCAGGGCACAATATTCAGTTGAAAAGACTAAGAATTTTTTTAAATGAGTTTTTTATATATATAATTACAGAAAGTCTTTCTTCCAAGCAGTTCACATGGTATCTTTCTTGCCAGGGTTTCTTGGTAGTGTATGAGTGATCAGAGACCAGTGTGGGGAGGGATGTGGGGAAATAAAAGAACATGTAGTGGAAGGGTGAGGAGTGAGCAAAGCAATCATTCTATCCAGGTTTTGCCTGTTGGTGCTGTTTGGGAACACATTTGTGGTTGTCATGAGCCAACAGAGGCCTGTGGCTGTTGTGTGCTTTCTGAGTCTCTGTTATTCCAGTATTCGAAGAGGGAATATAGAGACATTTAAAGGAACGCATTCCACATGACAGACAACAGCTTTCCAAGTGTCATTGTACAGAGGACATTTGAGGATGGAGGAGAGTCGCCCATTTCTGTTTACCAGAATTCCTCAGGAAAATCTTATTCTTGCTGCCTGGACGAGGAGGAAGGTCTGCAGTACTTTTGAAAGAGAACCAGCCCAGCCAATGTGGTTTAGTCTTTGAGCATTGACCCAGGAACCAGGAGGTCACGTTTTATTCCGGGTCAGGGCACATGCCCAGTTTGTGGGCTTGATCCCCAGTAGGGGGCATGCAGGAGGCAGCCGATTGACGATTCTCTCTCATCATTGATGTTTCTATCTCTCCCTCTCCTTTCCTCTCTGAAATCAATAAAAACATATTTTTAAAAAAGAGAACCACTTGCACATAATTTCCCCCCAATTTTCCTTCATGAAGCAATTTGTAGAGCATTGCTTGATAAAGGGACAATATTCTTTTCCTCCCTCCAGTTGGAAAAGAAAAGTGGCTGCTCTGAGGACCACTCCTTCATTGCCATTTCTCTAGCTCACAGGCAACAAAGTCAAAGGACCAACTTGGGGCATTAAAAACAAGTTTTATTTATTTACTTTAAAAAATATTTTTATTGATTTTTAGAGAGAGAGGAAACAGGAGGAAGAGAGAAAGAGAAATATTGATATGAGAGTGGAACATCAATTGACTGCCTCCTCCATGCCCCCTACCAAAGATTTAGTCTGCAACCCAGGCATGTGCCCTGACCAGGAATCGAACTAGCAACCTTTTGGTGCATGGATGGTGCCCAAAAAACTGAGCCACATGGGCCAGGGCAAAAATGCTTTATTTTGAAATAATTTTAGACTATTTAAAAGTTGCAAAAATACTGCAGAGAGCTTCCATATATATCTCACACAGTTCTCAAGATGTTAACATCATACATAATCATAGCACTAGAAAATTGGCATTGCTATAATATTCTTAAAGACCTTATTTGAACTCCAGTAGTTTTCCCACTTAATGTTCTTTTTCTTTTTCAGAATTTTATTCGGGACCCCACATTGCATTTAATTGTTATTTCTTTGAGAGGAATATTTGCAGTTAGGAAAATAGAATCAACTTTCCTTCTCCACTCTCTTTTGCTTCTCTTGACATGTCCTGTTTTAGATTTTCTAAGAACTTGGAGATAGCATTATTAATAGTTAGCTTTATTAGTAGAGAAAAATGCCTCAAATCTTTTTACATGATTATATTAGCTCCTAGACTGTAAGTTTCTTGATAACACTTTAATTTTCCAGAGTACCAATTTGATGAAGAAAAGAATGAACACTCTTCTCTTCAAAATGTTCTTCAAGGTCTGCAGTGTTGAGATCTGTTCTGGCAGCTTAGCAGAGATGCAGAAATGACCAACCATTCGTGTCACTTAGTGAAACTTCCATGAGGTTAAAGGGGAGCCTTTGCCACACCAACATATGCTTTTCCTTGGGATGTTGTGTATTTTAAGTTGGCTCATTTTAAGAAATAAAAGTCTCAAGAAGAACCTTGAATCTTCTCAATAGCTACTGAAAGGATTTAGATAGAGAATCTGGTCCAGGAAGGAAACTATGATTATTGATAACTATACTTTTAATATGAACTAGGTGTGATAGATAGGGAGAAGCCTAGCAAGGCCTTTTTGCTCAGTCTTCTCTGTGTCCTATTCTTAAAGATGGTCCAATAAACATTTGTTCAGCAAACATTTGCTTCTCCATCTCCATGTGAATTGCTTTCTTCCCCTTTGAATTTCAAACCACTATCCACTTTCCCCCTTAGTTCAAAATGACATATAAGTGTCAGCTGTCCCATTTGTCCTCAGATCACATAGTCATGTGGATCCCCATATGTACATACATAATTAAGTCTATTTTCTCCTGTTAATCTATCTTATGTCAATTTAATTCTTAGGCCATGCAGAAGAACTCAGAGGGAAAAGAAGATGTTTTCCCTCCCCACAGGGGTTCATATGACACTCACCATATCGAGTTTGCCTCGGTGCTCAACTAGGCTGGAGAATGCATAGGCTGTGAGCACGCATGCAGCAAGAGAGAAGTACGTGTTTACCACGGCCCTGTATTCTTTGTCTCCAGCTTCAGCGATGGCTGAATTAAAGCTGGGCCAAAATATCCATAAGAAAAGCGTCCCTAAAGTAAACCACAAAAAAAGATATTAGTTCTTAATATGAAAGACAATCCACTAGAGGCGATTTGCTTTGGAGACTGATAATGTCTCTACTTTTAGGCTTAGTTGTCTAAGTGTTAGGAGGAGAGGCAGCGTAAACAAAAGTAGTATTCAGAGGTCGTTCCTTCTTGAAGATCTTCACAGCTGTGTTGGAGTTAACCTTCCCTCATGCCTGACCAAAGAGACAAGAACCGAGCAAGTTCATCACTACTCACCAATCATTGCAAACAAGTCCGAGTGGTACACAGACTCCTCATTGTCATGTCCCCGTCTCAGGCCTGGTCGATATAAGACACCTGCTACAGCCAAGCCAAAGTAGGCCCCAAAGGCATGAATCGTCATCGATGCTCCAATATCAGTGGCCTGAAGGGGCAAAACATTCATGCAAAAGGTGAATCTGAATTTCACTACAGGAGGAAAGTCAATGAAAGGACTGCTTTATGGGTTTAGCAATAAAAAAAAGTAGATCAAGAGAGAAAGAATTTGTCAGAGAAAAGGGGAGAAAGCAAGATAGTTAAATAGAAAAACTATACAGGCTTTGGAGCCACATAGAACTGAATTTTAATCCTAGATCAGGTACTTCCTTGTGATGTGGCTTTAGATAAATTACTATACCTCTCTGAATCTCAGGTTCTGTTAAATGGGCAAATATTATCCAGCTAGCATAAATGAGACCACATTTGTAAAGTACTATGGTCCTTAGTGGGCACTCAATACATTTTAGGTTATGTTTCCAGGTTAGGGTAAGTCTCCATGAAATATTATGCTTGCCTGTGATATAAAACAAAGATAATGTTTGCATTTACTTGACATTACAGATAAAACTCACTTATTGCAATTTAAAGATGTGAAGCTTCATAAAGCCTAGGTTGCCCTACCAGTGTGGCTCAGTGGTTAAGCACTGATCCATGAACCAGGAGGTCTGGGTTGAATTCCCAGTCAGGGCACATCCCTGGGTTGTGGGCTTGATCCCCAGGTGGGGGTGTGCAGGGGGCATGCAGAAGGCAGCCAATTAATGATTCTCTCTCATGATTGATGTTTCTCTCTCTCCTTCTCCCTTTCTCTCTCTGAAATCAATAAAAATACATTTTTTTTTAAAAAAAGCCTGGGTCTTTCCCATATTTTTTCACTCTGCTATATGATGACATGAAAACCAGCCAGCCAGAGGTCCAAGATTCATTTGAATATATGTTAGGTCCCTTTTAGCATACTGTGTGGAATTGATCCAATGTTCTGCATTTCCTGCCCCTAGAGGGAAAGTTCAGAGTACCAAACCCAAGGTATTGTTCTGTCCTTATGAAGACAGGAATATGATACTATATTAATTTACTTAAGATTTTCCTACTCAGTAAACTCCTATGTGCCATTCAGGTCCAGCTTAACTGTCATTTCCTCAGAAAGCCTTCCCTTGTCTCCCCAGTCTAAATTAGGTCTTTCAGTTACATTCTCTCATGACCCCCTCTACTTATTTTTTCATCCTCTGTATTATAATTTATAGTAATATTTGTGTGTGTGTTTGCATGCACACAAGCACACATATGCACATGCCTGTGAGTGGGTCAGAGAATGTATGATTGTTTGTTTGATGTCTTTCTCCCCAATTATATTGTCAATTCTGTAATGATAGGGACCTTAACTATTTTGCTTGTCATGGAAGCACCAACACATGACACCTAGAAAGTTGTCAAAATAATTGCTGTTGAATTAAATGTTCAATAGAAGCATACACAGCCTGTTGAAGAGTGCCCAGAAATATCCTATTTATAATTCTTGGGCTACTCAATGATATTTTTATGGAGAAGAAGAAATTTGACCTAGGCCTTAACAAAAGGCTTAGGAAAGGCTATTCACCTAGTAGTTGAGAAAGAAATAGGAATTGATTGTTGGTAGGAAATATAATGCAATAAGAAGAGTTTGGGAGTTAGACAAATCTGGGTTTGAATTTAGATTCCAGCAAGTCATTTAGTATCTGAGCTCATGATTGTTTGTTTTTCTTCTTGTGTAAATATTTTTTAAATATATTTTATTGATTTTTTTACAGAGAGGAAGGAAGAGAGATAGAGAGTTAGAAACATCGATGAGAGAGAAACATCGACGAGCTGCCTCCTGCACGCCCCCTACCGGGGATGTGCCCGCAACCCAGGTACACGCCCGGGACCCTTCAGTCCACAGGCCGACGCTCTATCCACTGAGCCAAACCGGTTTCGGCTTCTTGTGTAAATATTAACAAAAATAACACCTACCTTATAGCATTGTGATGACAAAACGAGACATGTCTACAAAACTCCTGGTTCACAGTAGGTACTCAAATAAATGAGGACTGTTTTTACTATTTTCTGTGATATAACTCTTGCCAGGGTCTGTCCCTGCATAGAGTGGGCATCCATTATGTGTTGTGACCACAAACCATGTCCGAAGTTAGGTAAGTATAAATCCGCTAACACGCACCTTAAATATCTCAGCAACCAGATGTTCATTACCAGCAAAGACAGCTATTTCTATGATTGTCATGATCAGCATTTGGAGTGGACTTATTTTCCCCAGGACAGCTCCAAAAGAAATCAGAACTGTGGCTGTACTGAAATCTGCATTTATCATGCTAAGGGAAAGAGGAAGAATACATGAAAGAATAATGCAAATCCCAAATAAAACTGTGAGTTGTAATAAACTATAGCATCACCTTATCCAGAGTGCAAGGCCCTTCTCCTCACCAGTCCTTATCAGTCACTAGTCCCAGGCCTGCTGTTGGCCCCTCCCACTTCCTAACCCCTCCTCCCTTCCATTCACTGTACACTCCTTAGTCACTCTAACATTTCCTTTATTTTAACGTACCTGATCTTTATCTCATTTAGGGTTTTACTTTATTTTTGTTGATCTGATAAATGACCTATTTTCTAGAGTATTTGCATTTCAAAAATAACCTTAGAAAAATGACTAATGGTAGATTTGTGTACCCTGTAGCTGAGATGAAAAGAATCATAATTTTATGCCCTTAAAGTCAGACCAGAGAAGACATAGACATTCATGTATGATCCAGCTCAGTAGAGCAAGACATAGATTTGCCGCCTTGGATCCCAACCATCTTCTATTGCGTAAGGCAGACAATTTGCCTGCTAGCTCAGAGACTGGCTGTCAAGACACTAAGCCGAGAAACAATTGCTCTGAAAACACAATGTTTGAAAAGTAAAAAAAAATGCTTACTTTTTTATTCCAATGTGGATTTTATGTCCATGGCTGTGCAGGATCCCCTGCATCAGAGTGCCCCATTGGAGGCCCAGAGCAGCAATCAGTAGGTTGATGCCCACACTGCTGAAGCCATATTTCTTCAGGAAAGTCATGAGGAAGCCAAACCCAACAAATATCATAACATGCACATCTTGGAACACTGCAAAAAAGCAAAGGGGGGAAATCTGCATTAGGGGAGCACAGAGGAAGTGTTATATCATAGAATATCCCATTTATTTAATGCGACAGCCTTTGTGCAAGACACTGAAAAGGGAGAACATTAACTGGGCAGCTAAAGGCCAGTTCCAATGGCAACCATGAGACCCTGGGCAAGTTATTCAGTGTTTGAGCCTTTTCTTGGAACATTGTGTAGTATCATAGTGTGTTCTTCATCCTCTGCATGAAGAGTTTCCCTTTACCTGTCCCCTGAAGAAATCTTTACAAAGCACAGTGCAAGCATCACCCCCCTCTTGTAGGTTTTCCCAATACTACAAGGGAAAATTAATATTTTCTAGTGTCTTTCACACAGCTTTTTGTATATACTTCAGCTTTAGCACCAGTCGCATTGTATTGGCATTTATTTAGCACGTGTCACACTGTAACAGGTGGTCAATGAGGTGTCCTTCTGCACTATATAGCGAGTTTCCTTATTGAAGAGATTAGGACATATTCACACATTACTCCCCAGAGTTTGGTATAAAAGCCTGCATATAATAAAAAAGGCAATAATGGTTAAATGAATGAGCTAGTCTCCATTTATCAAATGTGTATAAATAATAGTATCAGCCCTGGAAATCTTATCAAATCACTATTTGAGTCAAATGAGATGATGTGTTTGTTAGCAATTTCTAAACTGTTGTAAGGAAGGCTGTATCTTTCGGGGAAGCAAATACCGGACTTGGTATCTGGAGATGTAGGCTCCGGTTCCCAAATTCTATCACATGATTGTGTGACCTTGGGCAAGTCATTTATTTTCTGTGGGCGTCAGTGTTCTCATCTGCAATACTGAAAAGATCCTGTTTCACAGAGTGACTATGAGTGGGATAACCCTCTGTGGGAGGGAGTATTAGTAATGCGCCATATAAATGAAGCACATGACTAAATGTGAGATTGTAAAAACACAGGCCTTTTCCTCCAGAAATTTACAGCTTAGTTGGTGAGACATATATTTGGTAGAACCATATGATATTGACATTTTTACATTCAACTTACCAATGAAAGTTTGACTATTGGCAATTTCTTCAAATGGATAACATCGGGTTATCCATTGCATGGTTCAATTCAATAGATACACAAAGCAAATTAAGACCAAACTGGGAACAAATATAAAACCAGAGCTAAATTAAACATGTAAGTGTTGAATTAATATTAACCACTGTGGCCTGATGTTTAAGTGCAAATAGGCATGAGGGAGGACATGCCTAGAAGCTGTATCTTATAGGAACCTGACGTTAGGATCCAATTAATTTACCCAAAGGGTGGACACAGGATTTCAATTCAGGCCTGATGACACCTACTCCTCCATGCATGGAGCACTGTGGGGTATAAGGATAACCAAGGCAGAGTCTTGGCCTCGCTGGCACTCAGAGACCCACTAATACCTCTTGCCTCTCTCTACCTCTGTTCTCCCATCAGGCTTAGCCCACGGTGAGCTTAGGGCGGGAGACGATGACCCTGGGGTCTGTCTCCTGCAGGACAGGCTCTGATGCACTGGGCAGATTCCCCACTTAGAACTGAAAAATTTATTCCTTCCTTTTCCCTCACCATAGGAAGTGCTGCTAGATGATAGCCCTAAGCTCTCAATTCTCTCGTCAATGTCACAGTCCTTCCCTAGGGTAGCCTGTGCCCAATGACTAATTCACATGAGCATCGCCTGCCTCAGGAAAGGACCACCTGTACACCGCCTGTTAGCTCATCCTAGTCTCAGAGTTTCCTGTGGGGTCAGCTGAAGCCGCACCTCTCTCTGCCCAAACCCTTCTGCTACAGGTGTGGATCCTTAAGGCATTCCCTAAGAAACCTCTTTCAGGCTAACGTCTGTCTTTGAATTTGTTTCTTGAGGAACCCAATCTGCAGCATCTTCCCTATGGGCTTCCCTCCCCACCCCCAACTCCACAGAACTTTCCTGACTTTCTCCCCTACACAACTTGTATACCACATTTATTTGAAACGTTGCCAATTAAATCTGATAAACTAATCTGTGGTTTAGTTTGGCTTTCCAAAGGTTCCCAAAGTTTAAAAAGGGCCCCTGGAGGCCTGGGAACTTAATATCAAGTATTACTCTATTGCAAATAACAGAATAGACATCATCGATTAAGTCACTAGGGTCCTTTGCTGGTCTCGCAGCTAGTCTGTTTAGTATGAGTGCAGCAAATGTTTACATAAAGAGACTGAGAAAGCAGGCCAGTCTTTCATGATCCAGGCACACTTTAGTGTCAGTCATGCTTTCGACCCCATGCACACATTGAGACTTTGGCCATTTCATTGTTCCTTGGAGCCCCTCCCTGGAGAGACAGGATGAGGAGGGTGAGAAAGGAAACAACCGATCTCTGGGAATCATCCCTGGTCAGCAGCTTTGAGGAAAGACCCAGAGGAGAATGCTGCAGTTTTTACCTGCTGCTGGACATCTGTCACCTAACATCAACTTGTTTGATTTTTGAAGTATGGGTGACCATATACACTCCTCTTTCTTTACAAGTTGTTTTTCTGCCATTTATTTTGTTTATGTAGACATTTAATATAGATCATCAACTAAGTTGGAGAACAAACTAAGTCAATATACTCTAGTACATAACTTATTCTCTGGCTTTATTAAGTCTTTCGTGGACAATTTTTCCTCCTTAAAGGAAGGTTTCGATGACATGAAGTCCAAACTGTCTCTCAACTCCACAATTTGTTTATAGCTACAGAGATAGAACAAAAATAAGAAACCAGTTCTATTGACTTCACTGTTGTTTTTTAATTACACAAAGTTATTTTCCTGAACATCCTTTGCTTTTTTTTAAAAATTAGAGTACTCTTGTTCTTCCTGTGATATACCCATTTTCTTTTATTTTTTAAATATTTTTATTGACTTCTGGAGAGTCAGGAAGGGAGAGGGACAGAGAGAGATAAACATCTATGTGAGAGCGGAACATGGATCGGCTGCCTCCTGCATGCTCCCCTCCAGGGGATCAAACCTGCAACTGGGGCATGGGTCCTGACTAGGAATCCGACCCAGCAAACTTTTGGTGCACAGGACGATGCTCAGCCAACTGAGCCACACAGGCCAGGGCATGATTTTAAAGCAAGCAGTAACCAACTATTGAAAAAAAACTGTTTTATATGATTTTGTAATGGCGCACACTGGTAGCAATAATTTTTCAGATTCTGTCCCCATCCCCCTTTGATGGAAAACCAGACCTTTTCTATAGAGGGAGGAATTTCTCCTATTAACTGTGCTCCAATATTTTCCCCCCTCTAATCTAATTCTTGTTACTGCTTTCTTCTACAAGGGGGCTTAAGAACTCATCTATTTTGTTGCTAAAGAGAGCTAACAAAGTTGTGAAAGCTCTGGACAGATAATGATTCTATATAAAATATATGGATTAAAAGGTTTATAAATAATTATGATAATGTACCAGAGGCCTGGTGCACGAAATTTGTGCACTGGGGGGGGGGGGAATATCCATCAGCCCAGCCTTCATCCTCTCCAATCTGGGACACCCTCGGGGGATGTCCGACTGATGTAAACTGGCAGTCAGACATCCCTCTCACAATCCGGGACTGCTGGCTCCCAACTGCTTGCCTGCCTGCCTGCCTGATTGCCC